AGGCCCAAACTAAGTTAAATAAAAGGAAAATGAAATTTAAGCCCAGCAGCTAAATCTGCCAAGGCCCAATATATTTAAGCCCAAGTGAAAGCTAGTAGGTGCATCACCTAGTTTGACCTTTTGAGCTGCTTGATATACATAAGTAGGTGCATCACCTACTTGATCAATTAGTGGCTGAAAATTGACCAAAAAAATGAGGTTTTAGAGGATTATTTTTTTATGGTCAAGAAGGCTCCTTATAAGCCCAATATGAGCTGATCTTTTCACTCATTTTAACATACAAAATTCACAATTCACTCCAGCTCTCTCTCTCTTTTATCTTAAGGATTAAAACAACAGTCTTAAAGTTCCTTCTAGGGTTCTTGAAGAAATCTTCATATCTGCAAACCAAGGTAAGAGAAACACTTATGGATCTATCTTATCTCTCCCACGGAAGACTAGAAAACATGTTATTCATGCTCAATTATAAGTAGAAGGTAGAAGTTCCGACAAGCTACTGCTCACTTTCCTTAATTATTAAGATACTTTTCTCTTCTTCTTTGGTTTAAGTGTGAAGGGAAGTTGAAGTTCTAGAGGAATTCAAGTTATAAGGAGAAGTTGCAGAAATTGAGGTAAGGTGAGTGCTCCATTTTCTTCCTCCTTATGTATGAGTTAGAGTGAGGAATTATGGGTGTGCTGTCATAAAGAACTCAAGGGGGTGGTGAGTTCAATAATTGGTTGTATGATAAAGAATATTTGAGGCTGTTTTATGTGTATTGTTGTTAGTGCAGCTTGGGTAATCTTGGAAAAAGATATATAATGTGTATTGGGCATAGAAGAAGGGTGTGCTGATGCACATTATTTTAAGGGATGCATGGGATCATTACCAGTCAAAGTTAGTGACTGTTTTACAAGGCTCAGGTGTGATAGATGCTAATATTAGTTTATCATGACTTACAGATTAACACCTAAAAGGGGAGGCTGAATCGTGATAGTTATATTGGTCAGAGAATAAGGTATGTAAGGCAATTCGATTCAAAATTCTTCGGCATGAAATCTGATCCTTACAATTAATATCAATAAGTGAATTTCCTAAATTTTATTCCTAGTAAAGGAAACATAGTGGCAGCGTACGATCTCCAAATAGCCGACAATATTTCCCCCTCTCCTTAGTGTATAGAATTACTTCATTATATGTTCACTACTCTATACTTGTGTAATTATCCTCCTATGTGCTGGTATAGAAATGGTATTTGCAAAAGCAAGTTTGGTGAATCCTCCTCTTAGTCAGTTGAAGTCAATTGTGTCAGTTAAGCTCACAAGTAATGCATTGATGTACATAGCTCCTTATGTCATGGTTACTGCCTTGAAGTATTATTTTCTTGTCTTCTACTACTGGTCCGTAGTTCCAAATATAAAAAATGATTATGACCACCAAACAACAATTTCAAAGATTAAAGAATCTAATTGAAGCAATCTGTATAATTATTGGTGGTAGCTCATGAGCGAAAGCCTAGCATGGGCTGATCCCAATTGGTATAAAGGGGTGGCAACTCAGGGGAGAAAGCCTAGCATGGGCCGATCCCAATTTGTGTAATTATGAGGACCGCATCCCAGGGGATAAAATGCCTAAAATGGGTCATCCTCTTCTACCACTGATCAGTTGGTCATTCGTATCACATGCCTTATAAAGATGATGACACACAGAAAGTTAAAGACAAGAATGTAACATACATTATCCCACAAAAGTTAACAAAAAGTGGTCTTCTGTTCTGATTTATGCACATATATTGATACTTGGTTTCATTCGAACTCATATTTTATATATGTTATTGCCTTACATATTGAATACATTTTCTCGTACTGACGTCCCTCGCGGGGGACGCTGCATTTTATGCTGCAGGCACAGGTACTTCAGCTAGTAGACCTCCTCGGTAGGAGCACACGACACTCTGCAACTTTTAGTGAGCTCCAGATTGATTCAGAGCTTTACTGAGTCCTTGGTAGATTCATTTTGGTATTGTATCATAGTTAAGAGTAAGGCGGGGTCTGTCCCGACCTACTCTAAGGTTTTCTATCATATAGAGGCTTTGTAGACTTATGTATATGGTTCAGTTACGTCTTAACAAGTTGTGGCCTCAACGGCCAAGTCTTGTATATAAGTTTTGGGTCTACTTATGTTGGTTCGTATCGCTGCATCCTATGTGAACTTGTCACAAAATTGTCATGGTTATATGCATAGTAAGCACATGTTACATGTTGGTTCTCTCGGGCCTTTAGGGCATCGGGTGCCTGTCCGTCTTAATGGGATTTGAGACGTGACAAAAGTGGTATCAGAGCAGGTCATCCTAGGGAGTCTACAAAGCTGTATATGTGTAGAGTCTTGCTTATGGATGTTTTGTGCACCACATTTATAAAGAGGATGCTACGGGACATGTAGGAGTTGTCTCCTTTCTTTCATTTCTTAGATCGTGCGATAGAACTAGTGTTGTAGGCGAATCATATCTAATTTCTAAATAGTTTTTATTATAGCAAAGATGCCGGTTACGAGAAGGAGCAAAAGTATTGGTAAGCGAGTAGATGTGGCTGCCCAATAAGGGACTAGCCAACCACCACCTAGTCAAGTTGTTCAAGGTGAGGCTCAAGATGAGTCTCCCTCACAGACTTCCCCGACCTCTCCATCTCCAGAAGATCTAAGGAGGGAAGCTGTACCTCAAGAACCCCCTGTTAATGCTACCGAGCAAGATTTGAGGAATGCGGTCCAATTATTGACTCGTATAGTTGCTGGCCACGGCCAAAGGCAAGAAGGTCTATTTGCAGGTACTAGTGGTGTAGATAGAGCAGCTGGCACGCAGATACGTGGTTTCCTTAATTTGGACCCTCCATTATTCACCGGGTCAGATCCTAATGAAGATCCACAAGACTTTATAGATCATATCCAATGCACTTTCGATGTTATGCATGTAAGTGGTAAAGAAGCGCTCGAGCTAGCAGCATATAGATTAAAGGGTGTGGCTGTACTGTGGTATGAAGCTTGGAAGCAATCCAAGGGAACAGATGCACCATTAGCTACATGGAAAGAGTTCAAGAAGGCATTCCTTGACCATTACCTGCCGTTGGAGATCCGAGAGGCCCGTGCAGATTAGTTCTTAAATCTCCACCAAGGCAGTATGAGCGTGAGAGAGTACAATCTCAAATTTAATTCCTTGGCCAGGTATACTCCTAATGTAGTAGCTACTATGGAG